AAAAGTGTAACTGTTGGGAAGGAGAGCATACTTTTTCATTATTTTTAGATGTACCTAAAAAGCATGACAGAATCTACTACAGGACTCCCAAAAGTTATTTAAAACAGTTGAATATAATTCAGAAATCATTTGCTTCTCTATGTACCAGCAATAATAGCTGGAAGACATCGTGAAAGAAAAGAAACATATTCACTATATATTGAGAACACAAAAAGTTCCCACTCAAAAGAAAGAGGTACATCATTTTTCTGCATAGGAAGATAAAGAGTTTAAATTCTTCCTAAAATGATTGATAGATTTAAGAAAACCCCAATCATTTTAAAGGATTGAAAGGATTTTTTTTTTCCTTTGGGGAAAGAGACAACAGTTTGGAAGACTGCTTCTAAATTCACAAAGAAAATAATTAATTAATTAATTAATTAATTAAATAGAGCTGAGACCAGGCAATCATTTAGAAAAATAAAAGGATTAATGCAGCACTTCTTGACATATGTTATTGAAGTCTGCTACTTATGCAGTGCTTAAATACACAGTACTTAGTGTTACATTGGCAGGATAATCACTAGCAGTGAGAGGAAGGTTTAGATTATAAAATTATTAAGATTTTTGTGCTTTTTTTACTTGAATAATGCACAATATTATTAAAAGTGCAATAAAACAGGGACTCCATCATCCCAGTGAGGCTGACTAGAGCAACACACCTCAAGAAAAGGAGATTGGCACTAAGTATAAATAGCTGTATAAGTGTTTAAACTAAAAAATTACACTTTTAGTAGTCTAAGGCCATTGACAGCATAACAGCCAATGATTTATGTATAAGACTTTGAAGCAACAATAATATATAATTAATTGTAGAAAGAATAAAAAATAGCCAACAGTAGCAAAATGTTTAAATATTGACTATACACACTTTGAGATATAATAGTGCCATTGAAACACATTTCAAAGAATATTTAGTGGCATGGAAATATTCTTAGGTTATATGAATAAGAAAAAAGAACAGGAAACAGATCCATGTAAGCCCAGTTTAGGAAAATAAATGTACAATTAAAAAGGAGAATCACTAAAATGTTGAGTGACAGCCATTTTGTCTTTTAGTACTTTTCTTAATTTTCTAAGTGGTGGGGAAAAGGTCATGTTCTAAATCCCCAACTATTAAAGTGAAACAGCAAAGAATACATTGTCCATGAAAAAATTATTCGGATGCTTGTCGAAACAGTGAGGCTGACTTTATTCAGGGGGACTATGGTTCACGTACAAGGACCACTGCAACGTGCTTTTGCAGTAAAGGAGAGACACTGGCCTCCTCTCTGAATACAAAAAGATAAAGTACGAGTTTATAGCTAAGCTGTAAAGTGTGTGGGAGGGGCAGCGAGTGGATGGAACATTGTTAAGAGAAATCAGGGGTAAGAGGGATTCTAGCTAAATTGACCTAATGGATTCCTGCTGAAGGCTGGCAGGTAATCAGACACTACCTGGGGAATGATAGAAGGTAAGGAAGCTGATAAAATATTGAGGTTGACCAGATATCAGGACTGGGAGTTTCTGGCTACCAACTTAGCATGATCCTTGTGAAAATTAAGCAACACAAAGACAACCGTGGAAATACAAAAGGTGAGGCTTAGTTGGAAAAGGGCCAACGTTTAGTCAAGGACAGACTCTGTTAATTTGCAGCCCTAAGTTAAGGAAATGTAGACACTTGCTTGGAACTTACAAATAAATCAAAATTCCAGGTATATATTAGTCTGACCATGTGGACCTGAGCTTATTTACCTGCCAATCTCCTAGCTGTAGAACAAAACAATAACTTGAGATTTAAATCTCGGTCACTGATTTTTAAGTCCTGTTATTGACAAGTGCTTTCTAATTGCTCCCAAAATAGTTTGGTAAGATAGTACAGTATGAAAAGGTACATGGTATATCTAGCATGGTTTGGAATGACATGTTTTCCATGGGGAAACCTAATAGCAAAGTGGGAGATATTTTCTTGTGAAAACAGTATAGTGTTATTATAGAGTGTTGGAAATTAGAAGAAAAAAAATGTTATCACCCCTGGTACCATCACAATAGAACATCTGGTATCATCTTTTAAAATGTTGTTCCATGCTTTATTATACAAATAACATTGATATTGTTAAAATTTTACTTTACATACAATTTTGTATACTGCTTTTGTGCTTATACTTACATAATAGGCATTTTTATGTTGCCACATGGTCTTCTTAGCAATTTCTGTTATTTTAATCACTACCTAATATTTACTAAGTAAATAGTTTGTACTTTACATTTCTTGTTGGGAAATCAAGTTGTTTCCTTTCCAATTTTCAGTAAAAACATGTTCTTCTAGCCAGTCACTCTGTAAATAGAAGGACTTTAAACGAAAAGCCCAACTTGTTCTCTTACCTAATCTATAGATTCACACACTCACCACAATGGGTTTCTTGATGTTTATATGACCAACACTTGCTCAAATGGAACATGTTGTAGAGAGAATAATCCAAAAGAAACTGAAAGTTTACACTTGATCTTAACCAAAAGGCTGAGAAGCGATTAAAAAAAAGAAACTTTAGAAACTGTAGTTTGTCTTGAAGCTTTTACAATAAGAGACCAAGAGTCTACAGTATGTACACTTCACAGCCAGACATGCTTTTTGAGGAAAATAATGTTAAACTCATACTAACACTTCTGAAAATAAACTAGTAACATGTATAAAATTGGGGAAGAAGAAACAAATCCTTCCATCCCCCATAAAATCTAAATGCAATTTTGCACACGCTGCCAAAAATGATAGGTTGCACGTTTTGGTTTGACTAGTCTACCCTTAAGAGGAAACATAGTAAAGTGTCTAAATCATTTTCCTTTGCAACTTATCATGCTTAATAGTAATTTATCAAGTGTGAAAAAAAGGTAAAAGCAGATGCATGGAAAACTAGTTGTAAACAACTCACTTCCAGGGCTTGCTGCATAGAACTTCCGCTGCTCCTAACTTTTGTTCTTTTGATCTCCCTACACAACCACACAGACCAGAATCCCTCCTCCCCTAACATCCCCAAAAAGTCATCTTTCTTTTATTTTAGTAGCTAAAATTTGAGATATGAATGGGTGATTGAAATGAATATTATTTAAAAGATTCTTTTTTTGAGTTCTGCTAAATCAGCACATATAGCAAAATTGAAGCTGGCATGGTTTTCTGGGAAGACTTTTCTTGTGATAAGTTCTACAAAAAGCAGAAAATTCAGCTGCCTGGGTTACTTGGGATAAAAATGGATTCAACTTAGGCAGAGAGATGATGGAAGCGAGGTGCCAGTTAAATGGCATAGCTCCTAAATGATGCTGCTAAACCTCCACACTCAGGCAGGAGCAGCAGGTAAGATGCCACTGCAGACTGCATCTCATGAATCGAATTGGAGTGCGGAGACCTATGAAAAGCAAGTGGTACAAGGAGCAGGACCTCATTTCTTATCTGTGCTTTCGGCTGCTGAACCAGCGAGCCCTCTGGCTGACTTGTGCATCTCCAGTTCCGCTGGGATTTCATGCTTCATCACCTCTGAGGGAATAGGTTTGGAGTACAGAATCTGTTGACATCTTGTTAGTTCTGGGGAAATAGGACTTCTGAAGAGAAAAGACAAGCCAAGAAAGCCCTGAGGGAATCAGAACGATGGGCCAAGGAGCGGTTTTAGGTGCACGGGAATCTTTTCAGAAAGAAACCCTCTCTAAATCTTTGCTCCCAGATTCCCTCCTAGAATTCTTTTCACCACTGAGAGTGACATCAGAAATCGTGCCAAGACAGCCCTGTGGCTCAAGTCTCCTTCACATACTTAAACACGTATAAAGTACTTGAAACGTCGCTTTTCCAGACTTACCAATCCGAACCTTGTCAGAGAATCCTTACTTCTATAGAATTGTAATGCCCTCCCGTCTCCCAGTCCTTGTCAGTCTGCTCTGGATACCGTCTAGTTGACCTATTTCTTTCTTGAAGAAGGGGCCCGAGTGAGGAGCGGTTTCTCCAGGGCCAGCTCATTAGTACACACCGGGGAGGACTACCTATTCTCTGCTTCTAGACTCTCTGGGCGCATTTAAGTTGGGCAGTGCATAACACGCGTGCTGCTGCTGAGTCACCCTGTCCCTCCTGGGATAAGACAGTGGGTAGGCTGGACTTCATAGGGATATATAAGTGAGAAGGTACAAACTCGGATGAGTTCTGCAGCCAGGCAGGCAGCACAAATGTGATACCATCCAGTGATTATCAGGAGTGACAGGGACTTGGGTAGCCAGGAGAGCACATAACATTCCTAAAGGTTCATGTCTATCTTCATCTTGGTCTGTGATATCCTTCCACTGGACTTCAGGCCAGCCCCTGGTGTGGCATTGGCAGCCACACATGGGAAATCGGACCATCTAATGTTCCTCTTGTGCTGAACAAATAATACATGAAATGTTCCAAAAATAAACTCTTGAAAAAAAAGCAATTCACTACAAAATGACCACCAATTATTTATTTTAAAATTTTTCAGGAATAAACTTTCAAATGATCCTAACCCTCTTGTGACATTAGGATTTTGGTTGAGACCTCTTTTTCCAAAGCTAAAGAGATTATGTTTTCCACAAATATTTATTATTAATAATAATGTTAACATTTATTTAGCTTACGGTGTGCAGGCACTATGCTAAGTTTCTGTGCACCTTTTTTAAAGTAATCCTCACAAATAGACCATGCAGTTGGCACTGCCCACGGCTGGTGCAGGGCAGAACTTTTGCTACTGTTCTCCCCCTCCTCTGCCTTCTCAGTGACGCAACACATTGTCTTTAACCTTAACATTAGGTGCCAGGCACAGCCATCCTTAGATAAAAATCATTAAGAAATGTCTACTGATTTATTCTGTAACTGCTCATAGACCAGTAAGAAGAAGAAACTCCGGCTGCTTGTTTTTTAGAGGTTTTTTTCTTTTCCAGTTGTCATAGATCAACATCTCATTAAAACACCCTCCTTTATACTGCAGACAGACCTCGGGTGGAGAGTCAAGCCTTTTCCACTTTGAGAAGCTGCCTGGCCACTGGGCAAGAAGAACTCATCCTCCTGCAGGAGCAAGTGAAGAGCGGGAAACTATCTATGGACCAAGCCCTTAAGAAATTTAAACAATGGCAGATGGGAAAGACAGGCCTGGAAATAATTCAGCAGGTAATACTGACCCCAATCCCTTCTGGAACATTCCCTCACAGAGCTCTTAGCCTCTTTGTAAATGATGAGTCTTCACAAGAAATACAAGTAACTGTTCATTTGTTTGCAAATAGCCACAAAAATAAGATGTTTTCAAACTACCAATTAAAAGTTGAAAATAGCCCCGCAGGGCGTGGCTCAGTGGTTGAGCATCGACCTAGGATCCAGGCGATCGGGGTTTGATTCCCGGTCAGGGCACATGCCCGGGTTGCCGGCTCGATCCCCAGTAGGGGGGGAGCAGGAGGCAGCCGATCAATGACTCTCTCATCATTGATGTTTCTGTCTCTCTCCCTCTCCCTTTCTCTCTCTGAAATCAATAAAGATATATTGAAAACAAACAAACAAACAAACTTCCTTTAAAAAAAATAAATAAATAAAAGTTGAAAATACCCAGACTTCATGTTTACAAACCCCTGGTGAAGTCAGTGCCAGGACCTTATGTATTAGAGCTAATACCGCACCAACTTCTAAGGCTGTCGTTAGGATAGTGAATGTTTTATGAATCTCACTGATGAAATTAGGGTGACACATCTTTACGCTAACATGTGATCGGCATTCACAAGAGTATTATGTAGACCAGGCTTAAAGGAAACATGAAAATGATTGAAATTGTATCAGGTAATAGTCCTAAATGCAATATAATAAGTATTATCTTCTCTTCCCTTTAATCTGCCAAGAGAATTAATGTCAGATAAGCTTAGTCTTGTCTTCTATAAATATAATGTACACCCTGAGAGGGGATTGGAGTAGGTGGTGCAGAGATGAGAATGAAAATAAAATGCACCATGTACACTCTGGGACATTCCTCAGTGAGGGGTATCAGGCCCTTATTCTATGTATCCCCAGGCCTTCCTGGTCCCAAAACATTCCTGCAGTTTGTCTTCTCATCACAGAAAGCTCCAGGGACTTAGAACCCAGTTGTCAGGCAGCTGTTTGATGAAACACATTTAATTAGATAGTTTAGGCCAAAGTATAAATAATCATTAATAGCTTAATATGCTATCTTTCCCAAGGGATTACTTTTTATTTAAGCCCTAGCCAGTTTGGCTCAGTGGTTAGAGCACTGGCCCTCAGGCTGAAGGGTCCTGGGTTCAATTCCAGCCAAGGGCATGTACCTCGGTTGCAGGCTTCATCCCCCAAACCCTGGTCAGGCACGTGGGGCAGGCAACCAATCCATGTGCCTCTCTCACATTGACGTTTCTCTCTCTTTCTCTCTCTCCACGCTCTGAAAAGCAATAGAAAAAATATCCTCAGGTGAGGATTACAAAAAACAATGCTTAGGAAAACAATTTAAACAATATGGCATATACACAGGAGACAGTTTAGGTAAAGGAACTTTCCCAGTACATCTGAGATGACCCCGTGTCAGAAACCATCTGTCTCTAAGGGCAGCTCCGGTTGTGGGTTGGTGGTTAAACGTGGTCCAGACTTTGCAGTGCTAAGCAAGGGCAGTGATTTTGCCAAACAAACGTGAAAGAACGCTGATCATAGAGTTTTGTAACTGATCACTGTTCATGCTTCTCAGTCTGTGCCAATGCATCTCCATCAAACATCCCTCTTATCCTGAAACAGGTAAAATATGCTGAAGTGCAGGCACACAAATCACTTTCCTAGAAATGCTACGTTGTGTGAATTTTGTTGAAATAAGTCATTTTTATCCCATCTTCCTTAGGCCCTTCAATAGTAAAGTTTACAATTTAGAGTAATCCAACCCAAATATCTTATTTAAAATGATTTCACTAGTTGTTTTATTAAACACTTGGTTATTTCTATTTTGTTTGTGGGTTTCCATTTAATATTGTTTTAGAAAGAATTTAAGGTGGTCAATACTTGCTACTTTGAGACTGATCTGACTTATCTAATGTGAAGGGACAATGGGTTAATGAATATGGTTAGTTTTTAATGCAAAACTAAACAAAAAAAATTAACCTGTATATTCAAAATCAGGCACTAAGACTGCTTTCCATAAGAGCCAAAAGCTTAGTAGTTCTGACTAACTACTGTTTGAGGTATCAATCAGTACTTTTCCTTTTTTCCCCAGCTTTATTGAGATATAATTGACATACAACATTGTGTAAATTTAAGGTGTTCAAAGTGTTGATTTGATGCACTTATATATTGCAAAATGATTGCCCTATAGTGTAGCTAACATTTCCATCGTCGCATAATTACCGCTGGGGGGATGGGGACATTTAATATCTACTCTCTTAGCAACTTTTAAGTGTACAGTACAGTGTTGTTTACCATAATCATTTTGCTATACATTAGATCCCCTTAACTTGTAACTAAAAGTTTGTACCCTTTGGCCAACACCTTAACCCCTACTCCTCCTGTTCCTGGTAACCACCATTCTACGCTCTGCTTCTATGAGTTTGACGTTTTAAGAGTCAACATCTAAGTGGTCTAATACAGCATTTGCCTCTCTCTGACATTTTTTAGTTAGCAGAATGCCCTCAAGCTGTGTCCATCCATATTGTGACAAATGGCAGGATTTCCTTCTTTCTCATAGCTGAAGAATATTCCATTAAATTTATACATAAAATGTATATATTCCATAAATATTATCACATCTTCTTTACCCACTCATCCATTGACAGACACGTAGGTTGTTTCCATATCTTGGCTATTGTGAATGATGCGGCCGTGAGCATGGGAGTGCAGAAAGCTCTTTAATATCCTGTTTTTACTTCCTTCTGATACATACTCAGAAGTGAGTTGGCTGTACCACATGGTAGTTGTACTTTTAATTTTTCAGGAATGTACATACTACCTTCCATAGTGGCTGAACTAATTTACATTCCTACCGACAGTACTCAGGGTTCCCTCTTCTTCACATCCTGCTAAACCCCGTGAATGTGCATGTACACACATTCAATCCCACTTTTCACTATTACTTTTGTAGTTTACAAAAATATTCACTTCTGTCCTGAGGATGAGTCTATCAGAGGTGATTATAAAGTTACATAATTATTGACAGACAGGAAAAATGGTACAAACATAGAGCTTGTACCAAGCGCTTAATAATAGGAGAGCTTCTAGAATAATGAAGACCCATGTAGAAACCCCGGAGGTGAAGGCCAGGTGGCTAAGAAGGTAAACCCCTTGCCTGTCATTCTCCTCATTCCTGGTGACGGTCCCTGAGCGCCTGAAGAACATTTGCTCCACTCTTAGGAGAGCACCTGTCAGGCAATGAGAATAACCCCCTATTTAGGAAATGTGGTTTCTAGGTTTCAGGGGAAACTCTTAAGGAACAGTGCTAGTCTTCAGTTTTCTTTTCAAAGGGGATTTTTGATTGTTACTTTATTTTATATTGTGGTTAAAAAGATTAGATGTTCAATGGGGAATGTTTGGAAAGCAAAGAAAGATCACAAATTAGCTAAGAAGGGAAATCCAGTTATGTTTCCTTTGCTTCTGAGTCCCTCATTCTTAGAAGGGATTCCTGGGAAGGACTGCGTACTACAGAAGCTGGATTTGGGCTCCAGCAGCAGCAAGTCACCATTATGTCACTCCCTTGCTTTTAGTCACCAAATAACTAATGTAGACCCTCAGGTGTTAGATTGGTAAAACAGCTCCTGAAAGAATTGGGCTCTGGGTTCCAATCCTGACTCTACCACTTATAATTGCATGATTTGGGAAAGTTCCTTAACCTCTCCATATATCAGCTTCCCTATGTATAAAATGAGATGATGACATTTTACATCTACTCATGAAGTTGTGAAGATTAAGATAATACATGTAGTATCAAGGATAGTCGCTGGGCCCGGTTGGGCATGGCTCAGCCATTGAGCATCAACCTAGGATACAGGAGATTGAGGTTCGATTCCCGGTCAGGGCACATGTCCGTGTTGTGGGCTTGGTCCCCAGTGGGGGACACACAGGAGGCAGCCGATCAATGACTTTCTTATCATTGATGTTTCTCTCTCTCCCTCTCCCTTTCTCTCTCTGAAATCAATAAAGACATATATATATTTAAAAAAAAAAAAAAAAACCCAAAAATACTTGTTTTTTCAAAAGTTGTATAGAAATTTAATCCATTTGTAAATATATTTTTTAATAATAATTATTGAACCTTTTNGACCAAATTAGTACTAAGCAGTCATGGTGGTGCTGGGGATGGTAGCTGATGGTTGATCTTGATCCATGACAAATTTGTAAATCTTGACTTCTGCTTCCTGGCTGTCTCCTCATTTAGGAAAAACTTCGACAACTACGAGATTGCATTATCGGGAAGAGGCCGGAAGAAGCAAATGTCTATGGTAAGTTAACTGTGCCTATTATTCAAAAAGTGATGAAGTGGAAAATGCAAGAACTTTGGAGTCAAGCAGGCCTGAGTTCATAGCCACATTCTGTCGCTTCCCAGCTGTGTGACCAGGCAGCGTCTTTAATCCCTGGGACTCAGGTTCCTTGTCTGCAAAACAAGAATAGTTATAGATATCTGAAAATTGCTTAATGAGTTAACATATTAAATACTTTCAGCTTCTCTGAATTATAATTGGATGTTCAATAAATGCTAGTTAATCTTTTCCTTTGATTTCAATGTAAGTTGAAAACAAGATGATTTTTGCTTGTTTCTTTTACATATGAGACCTTATACCAAATTTTTCAGGAGTCAGACTTTAATAAGATAGAATAGTCTCAGTATAGTCAGTTCTCACAATTGTCCACATGTGGATCATTTTAAATTGCAAATCTCCTGTTGCCTTCCCCTGCAGCTAGCATGCTTCTTGGCTAGCATGCTTCTTCTTTGCTTATTAGCAAAGATTCCCCTTGCTAATAATTAACAGTTGCTCTCAGGGAGGGGGAAAAACAACACTCATCTCAATGTTAACACAAACCAAACATTATTAAATTGGTAAATCTCCTCCAAAGATAAACAACACATTCCAAAATTGAAAATAAATAGGTTCTCACTACCTGACCACTCTTTCCCTAAGTTCCTGCTCCTGCACAGATAATTAAAAACTAACAACCGCTAGCAAAGTTTGAAAGCTCTCCTCTCTTCCATTTTCAGTGATATTGCATACCTTTTAGCTAGTGCTTCATGTTGAAAGTCATCCTGTGAAAATTCATTTTCTTTTCATGTTACTGGGTTGTCATCTACTTTTCCATAGAGAATTCTTCAAGCTCTCTTAGAAATGTTTACTAAGAAAGAAATAATTAAGGTCATAACCATGGGACAGATTTACAGATAACTAAGTTCTGCAGACTTCCACTCTAATGTGGCATAAGATGAAAATTTTAACAAAGTATAATACTGCAAAATATGTAAATCACTTTCTAAGGAGCATTTAGTAATAGTAGTAGCTAATATTTATTGACTATTATACACTTAATAATACCTTATTAATTTCCTACAATAACCTTTTGAGGTAGGCATTAGTTCCAATTTATAAATAAGGAAACTAAGACTCTGAAAAACTAAGACACACAGATTAGCAACTACAACCTATTTCTGTTTGAATCCAAAGTCAATGCTCTTAATCATTGGTGTCCTAATTAGAAATCAACTAGCTCCCCTTCCAGCTAAAGTGGAATAAGTAGTACGAAGTAAATTCTCCCACATACAGAACACTAATACTGGACAAAAATATGAGACAACTGACTTCAGTGAGTGGAAAATAGGCAACCTAAGGCGATTATAATGCCAGAGACAGGCAAAGCTTACCTGGTAGCTCCCATGATTCCCAAGACTGATGTTCTGGTTACAATCTGTGCAAAACAAGGCAGTCCTGTTGAACCGAGGAGACCAAGATCAGAGATCAGGGCAGCTAATGTTTCTGGAGTGTGTGTGGTGAGTCACTGAAGCAGTAGCTGGGTAGAGGTAGCCTCAGAGGGAGTGAGGGACTCCACAGGTCTGTAGCTGCAAGACGAACTGTGCAACTACAGAGCAAGACCACTCAAGGCATACAAGATAGCAGTTTTTAGGGCACTGACTATAGAACAGAGACTCTAGAGTTTGAGTAGAGTTAGGGAAAATCCATACTGGGATATTTGAGTTCCTGCCCAGCCAGAGTGGAAAGATCTCCTTAATACTTTGTTAAAATACCTGGCATTCTTCTGTGATACCAAGAGCTGTAAGGTGTAAGGACCATGACTTAGAGTAAGACCCACTCTAGGCCTGCTGTAACAAAGTTGAAAACTAAGTCCCTATAAGATCCACATGGAAGACAGAAAAAAACCCAAACACTAATATTTTATATCTACCTGCTATGTGTAATTTTCAGCATTCTTTATGTCTTAGTGGGGATCTGAGTTTCTGTTTTTTAATATCCCCTCACCCTATATGACATTTCTAGCATTTATTATATTATAATTTTGCTGTCTGTGAATTCTCTGATTTTATTTATCTGAAAATGTCTTTCGACAAATTTTTGAAGGATATTTTCTCTGGATATACAACTCTGAGTGGTCATTTTTATTTTTAGCACTTCAATGATATTATTATATTTTCTTTAGTCCTTCATTGTTTCTGTTAAGAAATTAGTGAGTATTCTTACCCTTTTCCTCTTTAAGAAACTTGACTTTTTTCTCTGACTGCTTTCAAGAATATCTCTTTATTTTGGTTTGAAGTAGTTTGGCTATAGTTGCCTAAATGGAGTCCTCTTAACAGTTATGCTAGTTGGAGTTTTTTGAAGCTCTTAGAACTGTATGGAGGTGATTTTCATTAAATTTGGCAAGTTTTGGCCACTATTTCTTTTAAAATGTTTTGTCCCAAGCTCACTCTTGTCTCCTCTGGGACTCTAATTATATTCCTGCTAGACTATTATGTTGTTCTACATGTCTCTGAGGCTCTGTTCTCTTTAAATGTTTTTACCTCCTGTTCATGATATTGGCTAACTTTTATAGATTTGTCTTCAACTTCATTAACTCTCTGTTATATCCGATCTGCTGATAAGCTCATCTGATACATTTTTTATTTCTTTTATTATAACTTTAATTTCTACAATTTCCATTTGGTTCTTTTATATACTTTCAACGTTTTTCTGAAATTTCCTATTTATTTACTCTTTAAAACCATATATATATACATACATACATATATATATATATATATATATGTATGTATGTATTTTAAATATGTCCTTATTGATTTCAGAGAGAGGAAGGGAGAGGGAGAGAGAGAGAAACATCAATGATGAGAGTCATTGATCAGCTGCCTCCTGTGCGCCCCCTGCTGAGGATCGAGCCTGCAACCCAGGCATGTGCCCTGACTGAGAATCTAACCGTGATCTCCTGGATCATAGGTTGATGCTCAACTAGTGAGCCATGCTGTCTGGGCAAGACATGCATTTTAAGTATAAGACATAGGTAGGTTGGAAGTAAAGGACGGTAAAGGATCTACCATGCCAATAGTAAGCATAAGAAAGCTGGCATGGCTATATCAATACAGGAAAAGATAAACTTCAATACAAATAGTAATACAAGAGATAAAAGAGGACATTACAAAATGATAAAAGGGCAATTCACTAGGAAAATATAAAAATTCTAAATATTCATGTCCTTTATACTATAAATGTATTTATGAGTTTTATCAAAACTCATGAAGCAAAATTTGATAGTACTCAGAGATGTTTTCACCTTTTATCTTAGGAACTGAAAGAACAAATATACAAAAGCCAGTAACAATGTAGAAGATCTAAACAACACTATCAACTAACTTGATTTAATTGACATTTACAGAACAAGACATTGAAAATATTCAGAAGACATATTTGTTAAAGGTGTACATGGAAGGTTCACTAAGATAAGAAATTTGCCAAATTACCAAAAAAATTTCAATGAATTTCAAAAGATTCAAATTTTCAGAGTATATTCTCTGAAAGATTTCAGTTTTTTGAAACCTTATATTCTTTTACCATAACAGAAATATATGAAAATTTAATTAAGAAATTAGAAAATTTTCTCCAAATATTTAGGAATCCAATACATTTCAAAATAACCCATATGTCAAATAAGAAGTCACAAGAAAATATTTCAATTTAGATAATAATGCAAAATAACATAGAAATTTATGGAGTGCAATTAAAACAGTATTTAGAACTATATGGTTATAAATGTTATAGTAGAAAAAAATGAAAGCTCCCCGGCCGGGCGTGGCTCAGCAGTTGAGCATTGACCTGGGATCCAGGCGATTGGGGTTCAATTCCCGGTCAGGGCACATGCCCGGGTTGCGGGCTCGATCAATGACTCTCTCATCATTGATGTTTCTATCTCTCCCTCTCTTCTCCTCTCTCTGAAATCAGATATATTAAAAAAAAAAAAAAAAAAGTAAAGAAAAGATGAAAGCTTAAGATCAATTATCTAAGTTTTCATCTTAGGAAACCAGAAAATGAAAGGCAAACTCAATCCAAAAAAAAAGGTATGAGGAAAAAAAATAAAGATAAAAATTGATGAAAAATGAAAGATATGAACAGAGAAAATTTTAGAAGCCAAATATTCATTATTTCAAAACATAACTAAAATTGTAAGCCCATGTCAAAAAATGATCATGGGGAAAAAAGAGAAAAAAAGAGCTACCTGTATCTGGAATTTAAATGAGGCTATCACAACAGATACTATGGAAAATAAAATGATACTAACAAAATATAATTAAGCATATGACCATCTAAGACATATTCACAAAAATGCCAAAACATTTAACAACTTAAAATCTTTCCTGTACAGAATCAAGAACCCACATATTTCAAACTTTTCTGGGACAGATCTGCCTGGGATGAGCTGCTCCCCTGGCTGCAAGTCTCCTCAAAACCCTTATAGCTTAGGAGAAAGGAAGCAAAAGGACACACCTGAGGAAAGGGTGGGGCACAGGCGTTCTCAACGCAGAGCATACACTGTGTCCTTTGTCTTGAGAGTTTATCTGTTTTGTGCAGGTAGGAATTTTAGGGAGGTCTCAATCAGAATATTCATTTGCTTTTCAGGTGTGTCCTTCAATAAGCTGATGCATCAAAATGAGTGTATAGTGGGGTTTGTGATCATTCTCTGGTCTGCTTCACCTCTATCTTGGATTTATTTGGCTCTAATTGTTTTTTTTTTGTTATTTATTCCCCTGATTTTATCCATTCTAGGGTTTGGCTGACATTAATGGCAATAACTGGGTTTCCATTACCTATCTCTCTGACTAGGGTGATTGAAGCTACTCGCTCTCTGGTTGAGGAGGAGAGTAGTGTAAACCATCTGTTCCTAAGTGCCTTTGGTTAGGGAAGATAAGATCTTGTGATTTATTAGCTGGCTGCTAATTGCTCAGCATTTGTTGAACTATTTTGTCTCCATTTCCCAATTCGCCTTACTGGGGAATTTTCCTAGCTTCTTACTAACCTGCCTCATATACTACTCAGCAATAAAAAAGAATACTTACTATTACACACAACAACATGAATGGATCTCGCAGATATGCTGGAGTGAAAGATACTAGACACAAAGAAGTACGCACTATAAGGTTCCATTTACATATCTGGAGTTCTGGATAAAACTAATCTACTAGAGATAGAAATCAGATCAGGGGTTATCAGGAGTAAGGATGGGGTAAGGAGTGATGTAAGGGGGCACAAGAGGATTTTCCGTGGAGGAGAAATGTTCTCTATGCTAACTGGCTGTATAGATTTGTCAAAACTATACACTTAAAAATGTTTGAATTGTATGTACTGTATGTAATTATTACTGAATAATGTTCATTTCAAAAAAGAATGGAGTAGTCCATGCTAAAAGAACATCAAAGCAGAATAGCAAGCTTTTACTAAGTGCCAAACATATCTAAAATAATAATACCTTGGGACAAGCACCTGGAGGAAAAAAGACAAAAGTAATGAAAGACATGGTTTCTCACATTTAGTGGATGGAGGTTAGACATTTCGTGTTTATCTTAAAGATAAGTAGTCAAACAATAAAAAGAAGAAAGCTTAGAATAAATATTGAGCAAAACCCAGTGAAACGTGTGTGTGTGTTTTATCTTCTAGATAAGCTCACCATTGTGCATCATCCAGGTGGTAAGTGCTTGCTATTTATTGGAGGATTTAAGACTAAAATAAAGCACATAGTGAAATTGTTCAATATAAATTAAACCTAATATAATTAGCAGATCAGTGTATAATCTCACATAGATTTCGTATTTATATGCAAAACCATTTAACAACTAAAATGCATTGTGATATGGCTCTAGAATAGTAATGTTAGAGGCATTGTTGTATGGTAAAGGAAGCTTGTACTTTGAACTCTGATTGACCTGGCTTTTTCCAACTTACTAGTTGTGGCCTTTGGCAAGTCATGTAAGCTCTTTAGGCCTCAGTTTCCTCATATGTAAAATGTAGATAAGAATTCAACCATGGGAATTGCCATAAAGATATACGTAAATAGGAGCTGATGTTTGATGAGTGGAAGTTATTGATAGAGCAAATGGAATTGGAATAACACTTGAGAGAGTGATTCACTTTAATGTGAATCCTGGGGAGGAATGTGTGCAGAATGTTGGGAGGGCAGAGAGGAAATACAGGTCAGCCAGGCAGCTAATGGATAATATAGAAACAACTGTCAATGGCCTGAACCAAAGAGCTGACTGTGGAAACGGAGAAGCCTTAGAAGTGAGCAGTGTGGATGGGATGGAAAATGGGAAGCCTCTACTAAAGGTAGGAGGGCAGAGCATGAGCCAACGGGGAGTAGTAGGAATAATTTTTCTTAAAAAGTATATTCTGCAATTGGGAAATCCTGGTAAATGAGGAAAAGAAACAAAGGAAGAAGGCATGACCAAGTGAGGTTGTTATTCAAAGGTGTTGGATTGTTTCTGAGCTGAAGCAACTTCTTAGTATCCTACCCAAATTAATGGCATATTCTTCCCAAGGGTGCCTTGGGTAGGAGAAATTAATGGCATATACTTGCCATGGGTGACTTTCAATATGCCCTTTTATCTCTTTAGTAATTTTTCTCTTTACCCATATCCTACTCTTTGCACATATAATTTTTTTAATGTGCTGAATAAATGAATCATTAAATATGTGAATGACTAAAGAGATAGTAACAGAGTTTGTATTTCTAGGTAATGAAAGTGTCCACAATGAAAATACTTTATATAACATACCCTTCGGCAATAAGGTAGGTTGTATTTATCTTAATTTTTATAAAATGCAAAAAAAAAGAATTTTGTTGAGAAAGAATATAAGAGCCTTCTATCCTGATTATGCTTTGAAACATTCTAAAAATATAAATAAAATAGGTTACATAAGCATTTGTGTGCAAAACCCATGAGCAGTAATTTAAAGAAATTAACTATTTGGAAAAAAGCAAGGAAGGAACTTGATCAAAGGGAAAAGACGTTGAGGCCAAAATGTGGCATAATTCCACATGTAAGAATCAAATAAATCTTAGAGGAGATATGACGACATCATCTTTAGCAATAGGAATATGATGAGTCTATTTGGCCTACAATGTATACAGCCCTTAAAGTCTAGTTATAGGGGGAAAAAACAACGCCGAAATATTTTTCATGTAAATATGCATTACTTCACATTGTTTAGAGTGAACTAAAAATAAATTGTTAATGAGAAACTAAAAATAATACTAAACAAAGGCAGCAGCAATTGAAAACCAAGACCAATTCAAGATAACACTGATAATGACCTGAACACAATTTTTTCTTCATAAAAATTGTTATTCCAGCCATCTGTATATGCGATGTAGGAAATTTGCAGTTACTCTAGGGCATATGGCAGCTGGATTTCTTGCTAAAATCCAGAATTAGAGCCCTTGGTAAGTTCTCATAATAAACCAATTTTAGTGTACCAAATTTTAATAACCCTTAATCTCTCTAATGTTTCAAATAAATCATAGGTAGTCATAAAAGCCATTCACTCTTAAGAACTGATGGAAATATTTGCATTTCTGTGGCCCATCAGTGGGCTATAGACCTAATGAGCCTACAGTATATAGACTCATTAAACTCATTCAGCTATAGCAGAATGGTGGGGTAACACTTAGCCCAAGAATTTATGAAAATATCTTTGTCAAACAAAGATCCTTCTATCAAATCTAAAGGACTGTACAACCATGACATGTTATTTTGCAGTAAGATTTTGAATAAGAGAAAAGAATACAAATTCCCAACACTTGGACTATTCTCCATCAAAATGGAAATAAAATTTGACCTCAAGGACTTTAATGAAGTTGAGCTTTACAATGATTTCTTTCCTTTTAAGATGGAGGATTCTGTTATCAGCTGCCTCTTCAAAGCTGTTTCATCATGGCTGTGAAAGGCAACTATGACTTTATCATATTTCTTTGCCCAGCCTTAAAAATGGAAAAATTTTAGCTAGCTCTTTATCTTTTTTTTTCATCTGTATTGTTGAAAGTATTACAGGTGCCCCATTTTTTCCCCTATTGACCCCCTCCCCAGGCCTTCACCCCATTACTGTGTCCATGGATTATGCATATAAGCATATAACTTCTTTAGTTAATTTCTTCCTACCCCCCACCCTCCCCTTCCGTCTTCCCTCTGAGATACGACAGCCTGTTGCGTGCTTCAATGTCTCTAGGTCTATTTTGTTTGTCAGTTTCTTTTGTTCATTAGTTTCTTCTTCAAGAAGACCCTTCAACATTTCATGTAATACTGGTTTGGTGGTGATTAATTCCTTTAGCTTTTCCTTATCTGTGAAGCTCTTTATCTGACCTTCAATTCTAAATGATAGCTTTGCTGGTCAGAGCAATCTTGGTTGTAGGTTCTTGTTTTTCATCACTTTGAATATTTTTCTCCATTCCCTTCTGACCTGCAAAGTTTTTGTTGAGAAATCAGCTAACAGCCGTATGGGTGCTCCCTTAAAGGTAACTAATTGCTTTTCTCTTGCTGCTTTTAAGAGTCTCTCTTTGTCTTTAACCTTTGGCATTTTAATTATGATGTGTTTTGCTGTGGGCCCCTTTGGGTTCCTCTTGTTTAGGACCCTCTGTGCTTCCTGGACTTGTAAGTCTATTTCTTTCCCCAGGTAGGAGAATTTTTCTGTAATTATTTTTTCAAATAGGTTTTCAATTTCTTGCTCTCTTTCTTCTCCTTCACCTTCCCCATAATGTGAATGTTGGGCCGCTTGAATTTGTCCCAGAGGCTCTTTACACTATCTTCATATTTCTGGATTCTTTTTTCTTTTTGCTCTTCTGGTTGGGTGTTTTTTGTTTCCTCATATTCCACATTGCTGATTTGATTCTCAGCGTCCTCTACTCTACTGTTGATTCCCTGTAAATTATTCTTCCTTTCAGCTAGTGTAGCCTTCATTTCTGACTGATTCTTTACTATGTCATTGATGATGTCACTAGTTTCCTTAATAGTCTTACTAAGATCCTTGATCATCTTTATAACCATTATTCTGAACTCTGTTAGCTTGCTTGGATCTATTTCATTTAGTTCCTCTCCTAAAGATTTCTTCTGTTCTTTCCTTTGTGACATGTTTCTTTGCCTCCACATTTTGACTGCTTCCAGGTGTTTGTTTCTATGTATTAGGTAGAGCTGCTATGTCTCCTGGAATTGGTAGAGTGGCTTTGTGTAGTAGGTGTCCTGTAGGGTCAGTGGCTCAGCCTCCCCAGTCACCTGAGCTGGGCCTTCTAGGTGCTCCCCTGTGTGGGCTGTGTGCACTGTCCTGTTGTAGTTGAGCCTTGGTTGCTATTGGTGTCCCTGGGAGGAATTGACCCCCAGGCCAATCAGCTGTGAGGACCAGCTATAACTACAGCCAAAAAGCTGCTGTGCTGGAGACACCCCTATGGAGCAGGATTTACTTCAGTGGGGCTTTGGTGTTCACCCAGTGTAGACTTTGAGTGTGTCGCTCGTGGATGTGGCAGGGTTGTAATCCAGTGTGGTTGAATCTGACCACTGGGTGCACTGTCTCTGGGGCCTCCCAGGAGGTGCAAAGTCAGCCTCTGTCTGTGCCCTGCCCAGGGCCACACAGCATGAGCTACACAACAAACCATAAATGGCTGCTACTTGTGCTGGGCTTAGAGGTGTCCAGGAGAGGCCAAGCTATGAATCAATGCCGGCTGCCACTAGTGCAGGCCTGGGGCCACTTACCGAGAGGTGTGGGGTACATTGAGGCAGCTGCTGCTTGTTTGAGAGATTTTAGAGAAGTACCAAGCCTGAGGCTAGAGAGGCCACTTGCATAGAAAAACCACTGGAAATGGCCTGGATGAGCCTGCAAGTGGGGAGGGGTGGGGCCTCGGAGAATCACCAGGGTGGGGCAAAAGGTGTGAGTCAGGTTGATGGAAATTCAGAGAAGGCCCTGCCTGCCGGCTCTGTAGAGGAAGGGCTGGTCCAAGAAGCGATGGCCTCTGCCAGCTCTTGTGTCTGGGAGGAAGCTGCCCCTCCAGCTCTGACCCCAATTTCAGGCAGGTTAGTTCCTCCCTGAAAGTCACAGTTTCCTTTCAAGCTGCCGCCCAGCACTGGGCTCAGAGGGAGTGCGTCTGAGTAAGTTCATGTGCGGGCCTTTAAGAGGAGCTGCCTGGGACTCCACGACCCTCAGCCACAATCCCCTCTGGTTTTTACAGCCCGAAGCTGTGAGGATGTCTCTTCCCGGCCCTAGAGCCCTGGGCTGGGGGTCTGCTGTGGGGCTGGGAACCCTGGCTCCTCCAGGAAACTTCCACCATCGAGATTCCCTCCCAATTTTAAACCGCGGAACCTGAGTGTGGGAAAGCAGCCTCCTTTCCGCGATTCAGCCCAGATTCTGCCCGCGTCTCCTCCCTTCCTACCAGCCTTGATGCTTCTTCAGTTCCCTGGTTGTAGGACTTCTTCTGTTCAGCTAGATTTCAGGAGGTTCTGAACAATGGTTGTTCTGTATTTTAGTTGTACTTTTGATGTGGTTGTGGGAGGCAGCGGGTACCATGGTTACCTACACGGCCATCTAGTTGTCTCTCTATATCTCTTTTTTTTTTCCCCTTAGCCTCCTGTTCGACTCCAAGTTGAAAAGGAGTTTGGTTTCTGTTGCAGAAAAGATCACTAAGGAAGGTAAGAAAAACAGCCATATTTTTTTAAAATTCTAAAGCAGGCTTATTAGAGACTTGAAGGAATCATTTGTCCAGCAAACAGAATACTCTAAATATTTCATTTTCTTCTCCTGAAAGAACAAACACGGGTATTTTTCAAGCCAAAGGTGATTGTTCCTTAGAAAGATTTATGTATGGGGGTGAGTTTCTGCTAGCTAATCAATTTCAATTGATGATCCATTATTCTCTAATACATTTCCTGTGATCTTGTTTTCAGGTTATTATAATGAAACAAGAATCTGCAGACACTGTGCTTTCTGGGTGAAGCAAGCTTGCATTTGGATTGCCTGCTGTCTTCAGGGAAAATCTATACTATGAAACAAAAAGCAGTCCTCTGGATTTCAGATTTTATTATTGCCACAATTTATTGACATTGTATCTACTTCAGATGGGTATATCAAGCCTAAAATTGAATGCCATAGAGCAATTGCATTCTTTGAAAATGAAATTCTTGCATCTTACAATGCACTTTCCCACTGAAGCAGCTATTTTCCATTTTGAAAACTGAAGGAAAACAAGAGCAGAAAAGTTAAATGCTCTATAGCATTTATTGGGGCTGTTTTAGGCACTGACCTTAATAAATTACTCCTCCTGCCCTTAGAATAATGATGAAAATACAAATTTGTTTAGTACACATTTGCCTTTTAAGTGGCTGGTCCATTTCCTGAATTTCTCATATTCAAAACTATTATTGTCACATGATGTTTGCAGTAATCTTTCCTTATTTAGTGCTTATTTGCATGTAACCCTGAGAACATTATTTTTCTAACTTTTTGTATCTCATATTGATATACATTTCTACAATCTGTATTCCTTATTAAAAGATTTACAATTTCATCAACTTATTGCTTAGACACAATTTATTAGCATAGAATAGAAAGTGGTTTTACCATTCTATGATCTTCATGCACAATTGCTGCAAATAAAATGAATGTTTAAAGCTATGTCTGAAGTTCAAAATCAATGCAAGGGAATTAACCACTAAATTCTTCTGTTTACCAGTTTACAGAGAGAAATGTCTGCCAAAATTATTTGAAAACAAGTGAACTTGATTAATTTCACTGTGTAGGGCCCATAAACTAGACTAAACACAAATGAATTTCTAGCTTCTAAACAGTGATAGGAGTGTCATTTTTTTTAAGTGATTCTGAAAAATATTAAACATAGGTTTCTCAAGACTATTAACTTTCTTTAAAAAGCTCATTTTTTAAAAAAATACAGTTTAATTAATCCCTTTAGAAGCTGCTTTTGATTATTATATTTGGAAATTCAGTCTATATTTTCACATCCAAGCTTTCAAGAAATGCCATGCTGTTCCACGCACTGAGCCCCCATTTCTGTGGATTGTCACACCCAAATAGGGAAAGGAATAGGAAAGCTGACTGCTTTTCTATTATTTTCTCCATTTTTAAAATGTAAATGTATACACCATCTCTAAAGTTAAAACTTCCATACTAGCCTGTGACTGATGCCTACAATTCCACCATTAGCTTTAGTCTTATTAACAATGTGAAATCCAGTGACAGGTGAAATATTAACTTCCCTGATTATAATGCAATTAGATCATCTCTTACCTGAGATTCAATTAAGGGTAGAAGCCAGAGATAAGGCCTGAGCATTATTCAGGTCCTTAACATAGATGGAAATCTAAATTCAGGATCTTTAAAATAACTACCCTTATGAACAGGGCTAACTTAGAGTAAAACCATGGCAAAAAGCCCATTTAATAGCCTCTTTCCCTAGACACCCTGGCCCTTGAAATCTTACTACTTAGTCGTCACAAAGACACATAGGAAGAGAAATCTAAAAATCTCTGAGGTCCTCCCTATGCTTTCTTTACCATGGCTCACCCTGTCTGTGGCTGATCAGCCTTTGCCAGAATTAGAACGTTGGTTAGACAAGGTTGGAGTTGGGGGAGCAGGAGTTCATATCATTCCTGTCGCATGAAAGGAAGAAATGAAAAGTAGAGAAATGCAAAAGCAGAGGAAGGGTAACCCAAATTTAGAAATGATCCTAATGTAAATGCTCCATAGGAAGCAATATTTTTAATCTCTGGGCTTTATCCCTAACATATAGAATACTATCAAATTTGAGACACACAGCAGAACTTTGCCTCAGTGATGAAAGTTCAGAGGACAGGGCAGAGGGGCAGGAATGTAGGCTAGAAACACGTGAACTTTCCTTAGAGGTTTGGGGCATTTCTCAAAGAGCCTAGTCACTGCCAGAAAGCAGTGACCTCCATGAGAGACCTTTTGAGGATTCTGTGCTGATTCTGGAAACCTGAGCAGCCTGTAGCTGTTACACTTTATCTTTTTCTTCATTCCTCCCTCAAAGCAGATTTGTTCCCAAGCCCTTACTCCTAACTTTAGCCAAGAGCCAGCCCCTTCCTCAGGTTCTTAAATTTACCATGACTCTGACTTGTAGAAATATGAACGGTACTGAATGTTATCAAAGGAGTTTTATGTTTAATATTAATTCCCTTCTTTTCCTCTAGTCAGTTTTCCAGGAAAACAAAGAGGAAGCATCTAGACAAGTAGTTTTTAAATGAGGCAGTTTTGTTCTCTTTGCCTTGGGCATTTGGCAATATCTGAAGACATTTTTAGTGGTCATGACTACAGAGAAGGTAGTTCTGGCATCTAGCACGTAGAGACAAGGGATATTAATACACAGGACAAGAATTTTCCAGTCCAGCCCAGCCGGGCGTGGCTCAGCGGTTGAGCGTCGACCTAGGATCCAGGTGATCGGGGTTCGATTCCCGGTCAGGGCACATGCCCGGGTTGTGGGCTCGATCAATGAGTCTCTCATCATTGATGTTTCTGTCTCTCTCCCTCTCCCTTCCTCGCTCTGAAGTCAATAAAGACATATTTTTTTAATACAAAATAAAAAAAGAATTTTCCAGTCCAAAATGTCAAAAGGGAAGAGGTCGAGAAACCCTCATCTAGATATAAAGTAAAATGAGATTAGCATTTAAAAAGCGTCATTAAAATAAAAACAGTTAATTTTATATAGAGTTTTCTGAAAGTGGAAACCCTTATGAGAATGTAAATGAATGTCTTTATTTTAGAATACATATGGCTTAAGCTTAAATGGATCATTAAATACACAAAAGAATGGTAGACTCTAATGCATTTTCATAAACCAAACACTAGATTATTCTACCAATGGAGACTCCAGTTTTTAAACTGTTCTTAGTATTTTTCTAATGAGAATGACCTTGTAACTTATGTCATTATTTACCCTATTGTACACCACGTATTTGCTCATCTGAGTTCCTTCTTGTTTTCTATAATGCTCATGGGGTCTGATTTTAATAACTTAGACTTACCTGAATTTTACTGGGTATTGCTTTTCTAAATGGGTAAATATTTAGGAGACAGATCTGCACCATGAGCCTGATCTAGTGGGTCCCAGCAGATTAGCAGAGAGCTGGTCTGAGGCCCCATTGCAGCCCTTTGTGTAGCTGTACCAGCCACACTTGTCAGCCCCCTCATTTTGTGGTGCTGACCTCCAAAGACAGGGATTACCATTTAAACTACAGCAAAAGGCAAGACTCTCAGTACAATAGACCTCAAATATACACATCACAGTGCATGATTTCCTCAATATTCCAATCTTCAAAATGCAGATGATAATTCTTCTTACATAATTTTATGGGTATTGAATGACATCCTGTATTATATAAGCAGGACAGTACTGCATTCGGAGCATGAGCTTTGAGGTTAGACTGGCCTAGTTTGCCTATTGGCTCAGTTATGTCCTATCTGTGTAAACTAAACCAGTTTGTCAGTCTCTTAGAGCCCTGTTTGATCGTTGGTAAAATGGGGTTAATAATACCAACATTAGCATAGTTTGTTTGAGAATTAAATGTAAGAAAATCAGTTAATCAATTTATCATTCAAAGAGGATGCCTTTGGTGGTAAATGAAGTAGTGTTAATAATTACGAAGGAAAAGCAGGCATGAACCAGGGCTGCTTCAGGCATAAGCTGGAGTATATGGTCATTTTACTAAAATGAGATGTAAGTGCCTAGAACATTTGACTTGGAGTAAATTGTCAATGAAGATAGTTTGCAAAAAATAATCCTCTTTGAAATGTGAATGCTGTGTGATACAGGAGGCTGACTTGTTATCTAAGTCATAGCCTTATAGCATATGATTCACATTCATATTATTTTTAAAAAAAAAATGATTGCAAAAAATGACCACCTGGATCACCCATAAACATCAGAAGCCTCAAGTGGAAAAATCCATCAATGGTAAGGTTCTATAGCATTGTTTTCCAAAATGTGTTACAAGGACTCATAGGAACTGCATTAAAAAGGGGTTCTGTGATCAAATGAGCTCAGGGTGCTACGTATTTTAGTCCCTTTTATAATAGCATGTTAAATATCCAAGCACTGAAAACTAAATAATCTTGCAAGAAAGAAAGCTCTACAGTTTAAAAAATACTGGTTTATATTTTATGTATATGTTGTAAGCTGGCCTCATTTTCCACTTAATGGGAAAAGAAAAACTGGTCGGATGCGTGCAGTGACATGTTGAGATGGAGCCTGAAACCTGGGTTCAGTGGGAAACCGTCGAGATCAATTAAGGATGTTTGCCGTGGATAATGGTTGACGGGCTGAGGGGAGTGGTAGCATGCATGATACTGACTTGGCATTCAGGATCTGCACTCAGTTATTTGGCATAAAGCGAAAGCTTAACTTCGAAATTTTGCAAATAATAAAAGTCAGCTTCAGTCAGAATACTGTCTTCAAACAAATAAACCAGTAAGCTCCTCTCAGAGTAAAACCTTAATTTCTCTTATAAGCTACTGTGTGTGACTTCAAATCAACATCAAGCTTGGTTCCACTCCGAAGTGGCTTAAGATCATTCAGAGAGGCTGTGCATTGAAATGTACCAAACACTGAAGCGATTTCTGAGTTCATGAAAACCAGTGGGATGGTTTTGCTCACATTGCCTTTCTGCCCTCTGTAGCAATAGATGATCCTCAGAGAGAAAAATTAGCAACACCAAATTAACCAGTAATTTCTGATGGATTGTCTCTTTCATTTCTCAAGGTGGGGATAGACATGTGGTATCAGCTAAGATAAAGGTGCTACGGTTTTGCCCCTACCACTTTCTCTTTTCTTCATCTGAGCAAAAGAAAGACACAGGATTCAGGGTAACGTGACCTGATGCTGTTTTAACATTCACGCCTGACACTCAGTGAAAGCATTTGCAGCCACACTAAGGAGCCTTCAGCGTCTTTGCCAGTCATTGACATTTTTCATAATGTTGTAAAATGAGGTGTAACTCAGACATAGCAAGTCATTCTGCAGCATCAGACTTGGGGATTCCCAACTGATGACCTGTCATTAACAGTGACATTGAAGGGCAGAGGAACTGAACTTTATGATCACCATATGTTCTCCTCATCCTGACTTCCATATACCATTTTTATTTTATTTTATTATTTTATTTTATTATTTCATTTTATGTTTGTAAGACCATTTAATGTAAGTCTCTCTACCCTTCTAACAAATTAAGCGTACAATATGTTATTGTTGCTTTACAGGCACAGTAGTACAGCATCTCTCTAGAGCTTATTTGACTGGAATATTTATAGACTTCATTTAGATTTTAGTTAAAATTGATCTTTCTTGTTTTAACAAAACACCCCACCTATCACTATAAAAACTAGCTGCTTCCTCACCTACCTGAGAAAGATAACAGAGAAGCAAGCATGATGCTTCCCTGAAAAACAAACTAGTTCTTCACCCAGAAAAGCAAGTATCCATGGAGGTTCTGCCTGCTTCAGCCTCTGAAATGGGAATGGGGGAAAAATTCTTAGAAATATGGCAGAAAATTTATTTGAAAGAAGGAATTAAGACCACAAAAGAAAAGCAATAGTTCAGGACCACAGAGAATAGCTAATGCAAAGACCCAGTGGCAGGAGG